TCTCCCTCTGCTCCTCCCTCCTGCTCGTTCTCTCTCCCTCTCTCTTTCAAATAAATAAATAAAATCTTAACAATAACAACAGCAACAACAAAACTTCTGAGAAGTGGCCAAGGACGCAGTGAGGGAAATTTATAGCCTCAAATGCATTTATTAGTAAAAAGATGAGGTGAAAAATGAATGAACTGAACATTCAACTTGAGAAGCGAGAAAAAGAGCAATAAAAGAAACACCAAGAGAAAGAGCTAATAGGGCATAAAGGGAGGAATTAAGGACACAAAACCAAGAGCTGGGTCTTTAAAAAGACCGGTATGATGGAATGTCTAGGGACACGCCAGACCACAGATTCCTTAGTGGGGAGGCCTTCGGGGATATTATTTCTCACCCCGAGCTTTTGGTAGTAATCGCTTGACCAAGCGTACTAGTTATCACTTGCTGTGTAACAAATTCACCTGAACGTAGAGACATAAAACCAGAAATAGGTTTCTCACAGCTTCTGTGCTCAGGAATCCAGACAGGACTTTGCTGGGTTTCTCACAAGGTGTTGGCAACCTCAGCCATCCCCCGCCTTAAGTCAGGGGCGTGGGGGAGGGGGGGTGTCCACTGCCAGGTTCACTCATCTGGCTGTCGGCGAGCCTCAGGTCTTTACTGGCCGTTGGCTGGAGACATCGGTTCCTAGGCACGGGGCCTCGTCTGTAGGACTATTCATAAGTGGCTTGTTTACTTCCCCCAGAGTTAGGGCAGAGAGAGGGAGAGGGAAGGAGGGAGGGAGGGAGGGAGAGGGAGAGGGGACAGTCTTTTCTAACGTCTCTTTTTGTAATCAGTCTTTTCAGTACCTAATTTTGGAAGTGACACCCGGTCACTTTTGCCCTATTCTAGTATTCTCTTGGTTAGACGAAAGTCTCTGGGTCCAGCCACACTCAAGGGGAGTCAATATACGAGGGTGTGAATACCAGGAGGTAGGGATCACTGGACATCATGACCAAGGCTGTGTGTCACACAAAGGACATCCTTCTGGAGGGCAACTCTTCCCTTTGCTAAGTGAGGGCAGCGAGCCATGGGTTTGTAGACAAGGCAAGCTCTGCTACTTACTCCTTGCATGGGACCCTTCCTTCCCCATCTGAAAAATGGGATCATAATAAAGGTCATTTTTTTTTAAAGATTTTATTTATTTATTTGACAGAGAGAGACACAGCGAGAGAGGGAACACAAGCAGGGGGAGCGGGAGAGGGAGAAGCAGGCTTCCCACTGAGCAGGGAGCCCGATGCGGGGCTCGATCCCAGGACCCTGGGATCAGGTCATTTTTTTTTTTAAGATTTTATTTATTTACTTATTTGACAGAGAGAGAGAGAGAGAGAGAGTGTGCACACAAGCAGGGGGAGGGGCAGAGGGAGAGGGAGAAGCAGGCTCCCCACTGGGCAGGTAGCCTGATATGGGACTCAATCCCAGGACCCTGGGATTATGACCTGAGCTGAAGGGAGACGCTTAACCAACTGAGCCACCCAGGCGCTCCAATAAAGGTTATCTTGAAAATTTGTTGAGTTTACTGTGATGAGGGCTGGATAAAGGGCTTTGTAAAGTGTAGAGTACCCTTTAGGAGGCAGGCTTTGTTTTATTTTAATTAATTTATGAGAGAGAAGAGAGAGAGCACAGAGAGAGGAGAAGCAGACTCCCTACAGAGCAGAGAACCTGAGGTGGGGCTCGATCCCAGGACCCTGAGATCATGACCTGGGCCAAAGGCAGATGCTTAACCGACTGAGCCACCCAGGCGCCCTAGAAGGCAGGTGTTACTAAGAGAACAAGGCTGGAGATTTTGATTTTTTTTTTCTTTTCTTTGGTGATTTTGATTTTTTTTTCTTTCTTCCCTCCCTCCCTTCCTTTCCCCCCCTTCCTTTCCTTCTTTCTTTCTTTTAAAAAACCTTTCATTGAGGTAACACACACACAGAAAAGCGTCCCATTCATGGACATGTGCTCCCATCTTTAAAGATTTTTCTAAAGCAAGTGAACTTATAAATTCTACTTTGTGCGCTTATCGACACCTTCTACAATGAGCTAGAGTTACTGCTATAATCAGAAAAATACCACCTTTATGAGGTGCAGTTTCTGTTGATTAGGGGCTTTTCGGTGCATAAAGCATTTGAAACCTCGTTATCTTGCTTGGGCTTTACCACACGGCCCTGGGAGGGAGGCCAAGAACCGATTGATTTCCTTGTGGCTTAAAATGAGGAAATCACCGTCCTTTTGGGGGTGGGCAGGGGCCTGGAGGCTGTGTCCTCTGTGAGCACCGGGCAGCAAGCCAACTGTCAGCTCCTGGCACCGGAGGGTTCTCCGCAGGGCTGGCCTCCCCGCACCCCCTTCCAGAGTGGCCACTACCAGCTCTGATGGAAACCACGCCACACTAGGGCTCTGGAAAAATCCCGCTTCCGGGAATCCACCCTAAATACGTTGTCAGGACGCAGTCAAACTTTATATGCAAATAGATTGAATGCAGAAGTACTTTTCTTTTTTTAAAGATTTTATTTATTTATTTGACAGAGAGATAGCGAGAGCAGGAACACAAGCAGGGGGAGTGGGAGAGGGAGAAGCAGGCTTCCCTTGAGCAGGGAGCCCGATGTGGGGCTCGATCCCAGGACCCTGGGACCATGACCTGAGCCGAAGGCAGACGCTTAACGACTGAGCCACCCAGGCGCCCTGCGGCAGTACTTTTAATAGCAAATATTTAGAGGGCGCCTGGGTGGCTCAGTTGGTTAAGTGACTGCCTTCGGCTCAGGTCATGATCCTGGAGTCCCGGGATCGAGTCCCGCATCGGGCTCCCTGCTCGGCAGGGAGTCTGCTTCTCCCTCTGACCCTCCTCCCTCTCATGCTCTCTGTCTCTCATTCTCTCTCTCTCAAATAAATAAAATCTTAAAAACAAAACAAAACAAAACAAAAAAAGCAAATATTTAGAATTAATGTAAGTGTTCAGCCGAAGGAAATTGGTCCAATAAATTTAGTTCTTGAAAGGCGGAATAGTTCACTGCCATTGTGCTATCGTTGTGAAATATAGATTTGTGGGCTTTAATGTTTACTGAATGAAGCAGGATAGGCAACCGCACAGAGGCTGTCTGTGATATGAATCCACAGAAAACCGTGAGGAGGGAAATGAGCTGGTAGAGTAAGCAGGTTTCCTTCTGGTGGGAGGGCTGGGAGCACTTGCTTTATTTCTGACTTTTCTCATACTTTGTATCTTGAACTGCCTGCATGAGCCAGTAAGTCCCGGAAGATCAAAGCATTTAAATCCCCAGTACTGCCCCCACCTCAGCCCTTTCCCTCCCTTCTCTGATTTTAACAGTTTGTTATAGGCACTTCTAGATGTTTTCCTTGAATCCACCATGTATTGCTTTTAAAACTTAACACATACAGGTGCCTGGGTGGCTCAGTTGGCTAAGCGACTGCCCTCAGCTCAGGTCATGATCCTGGGACCCAGGATCATGCCCTCAGCTCAGGTCATGATCCTGGGACCCAGGATCGAGTCCCGCATCGAGCTCCCTGCTCAGCGGGGAGTCTGCTCCTCCCTCTGACCCTCCCCCCCTCTCAAGTGCTCACTCTCTCAAATAAATAAATAAGTAAATAAAATCTTTTTTTAAAAAAAATATTTTTATTTTTATTTATTCATGAGAGACAGAGAGAGAGGAGAGGCAGAGGGAGAAGCAGGCTCCCAAGGAGCAGGGAGCCCGATGTGGGACTCGATCCCAGGACCCTGGGATCATGACCTGAGCCGAAGGCAGAAACTTAACCATCTGAGCCACCCAGGTGCCCAAGTAAATAAAATCTTAAAAAACAAAACAAAACACGTACAATCAGAAAAATCATGGGGTGAGGGGAGAAAACAAAACAAAGAGCTCTCGGAATGAAACTCGACATCAGAGAAAATGAGAAGCTTCGAGGTTTTTTGCAGAGCAAGTCTCTGTGCTTGAGGATGAGGCAGCGGGGCTCAGGACCGCAGGTGGCTTGCCAAGCTCATGTGGCGTTTGTGCTGGTTCCGACACCCAGCTGGGGCCGGGCTGGGAGGGGTTGGGAGGCTGGGTGCAGGGGGGCCAGAGGCTGGAGGCTGGGTGCAGGGAGGTCGGGAGGATGCTCTGGGCTGGGCTGGGTGCGCCCGGGTGAGGAGCCTCCCACCCATTTGTTCTGGGTACTAGGAGATGCCGGTGGAGAGACACTGGGGCCGAGGGGACCAAAGTCCCCATTTATGGCCTTGAGGGAGTTAATGTATAATATTCCAGAATATAAACTGGGCTGTGAGGCGCGATCCGGAGCCCAGGCCTCCAGGAGCCACCAAGAGCTGCGGCCAGGAGCTGCCACCATGTCGGTGAGGAAGCCGGCTTCCCCAGGGCTCACCTCCTCCATTCCCCACATCTTTGCCTGAGTGGGGCGACTTGGTGGGGAGGGTGGCTGGAGAAAAGCGTCACCGGCCCTCCCTGGGCTTCGGTTTCCCTATCTGTATAGTGACCGAGGGGGACAGACGGCTTCCACCGTCCTCTAGCATGGATGTTCTCTGCTCTCTCTACCACCACCCTGCTGCGGGAGCCTGAACCTACCTCTTCCCCTCTCTAGACTCAGTTGCTCGTCCGTAATAATAATAATATTAGGAATAATAATAATTGCCAACACCTACTGGTTTTTTTTTTTAAGATTTTATTTATTTATTCGAGAGAGAGAATGAGAGAGAGAGAGCACAAGAAGGGGGAAGGTCAGAGGGAGAAGCAGACTCCCTGCTGAGCAAGGAGCCCGATGTGGGACTCGATCTCAGGACTCCAGGATCATAACCTGAGCCCAAGGCAGTTGCTTAACCAACTGAGCCATTCAGGCGCCCTACCGGGCTTTTTAAAAAAGATTTTATTTATTTGAAAGAGAGAGCATGTGCAAGGAAAGGGAGAGGGGCAGTGGGAGAAACAAACTCCCTGCTGAACTGGGGCTCAAACTCGGGACCGGGGATCATGACCTGAGCTGAAGGCAGACGCTTAACTGACTGAGCCACCCAGGCGCCCCTCTACTGAGCTTTATAAAGACGAAGAAACTGAGGCTGGGGGAGGAGGTTGCCCAAGGTCACAATCTGTAAAACGCAGGAGTTTGAGTGGATCCTCTTTGCCGTCCCTGATTCTCTGTCATAGCTGTGTGGCTTCAGACAAGTCACTGCCCCTCTCTGAGCCTCTGTCTCCGGCATTTGGGCAACTGGATCACAGAGGGCATCTGAGGGTCAGAAGGTGTCTTAGTTCCCCGTGGCCGCTGTAACACATTTATTCTCTCAGAGTTTTAGAGGCTAGAAGTCTGAAATCAAGGGGTCGGCAGGGCCACGCTTCCTCTGAAGGCTCCAGGGGAGGATCCTTTCTTGTCTATTCCAGCTTCCGGTGGTTGCAGTTCGTGGCGGTCCTTGGTTGTGGTTGCACCTCTCCCCTCTCTGCCTCTTTCCTCACAGAGCCTTCACCTCTGTGTGTGTGTCTCTGGGTCCACTTTTCCCTTTGCTTATAAGGATGCCAGGCGTATTGGATTTAAGGTCTACCCTAAACAAATCTTGATTACATCTGCAAAGACCCCATCTCCAGATAGGTCATGTCCACGGGTGTCAGGTGGCCATAACTTTTTGGGAGACACCGTTCAAGCTGGTACAGATAGGCTGCAGGATGTGAATGCCACGGGTGGGGTCAAGTGTGGCGGGGATGATGCTGTCCCCTCCCTCCCCTCTCAGGGGAGCTCTGTGGCCCAGAGACCTTCCCAACCCACTTTCTGCTTCTCCACTCATCCCATCCCTGCCCGCTCTTTCCTCCTTCACCAGAGACCACCCAGTCCAAATCTCTTATATTAATGATGGGGGAACCTTTCCCAGCTCAGTGCCCTCGAGTGTGCAGAGGGGGAGTGCGACCTTTGGCGTGTGAGTGGGACCCACCAGCAGAAGGGCTCTGGGCATGCGTGTGATGGGCTTTTTATGGAATGCTTCTCGGTTGGCACAGGGAAAATTTGAGATGACGAACATGGACATGAAGTTGGGGACCACCCTGAAGATCAAGGGCAAGATTGCCAGTGATGCTGATGGGTGAGCAAGGGGAGAGGTGGGGGGTGGGGGGTGGGGCGGGACAGAAGGGGGCAGGGGAGCTGTCCACAGGCCTGGAACAGGCCTGGAAGGCGGGGGCAGGCAGGGCAGCCCTGTGAGATGGACACAGAGGAGAGCGACCCCAGTCCAAACGGGCCTTTTTTACATCCTTGCTCGTTCCCACACCCTCCCACGCCCCTGCTGGCTCCCCTCCTGTGAGGGGCCTGCCTTCATGGCTGAGGGTGTTTGGGACCCTCAGAATTTCACAGCTCATGCTATATGCTCAGCTCCGTGGCCCCCAAAGACATTGAGGGGGCAAGTGGAGAAGCCCCTGGAGCTCTGCCCAGCCCCCTGTGGGTCAGGGGTCTCTACTGAAAGCCCACGCCCCCCCCCATCACTCTCTTAACCCAGCTGAATGGGCAGAGGCCAGCCTTTCATACACATTACCCCAGAGACAGCCACCAGGGGGCGCTAAGGGGTCTCACTTGCTTCCTCTCGGTTAGAACCAGCCACGGCTCTACCTGTGTGCTGATCGAGTATAGAATTTCTTGGGGCCGATCTCCATGAATCTTTGGTTGGTGAGGGCGGGCTGATGTAGAGGGTAGGAGCCAAGAGCAGAGTCACCCCTTTCTCTTACTTGGGTTCAAGTTTACAGACATTTGTGATCCCTCTGGTCTGAGACCTCCCACTGAAGGCACTCTATTCATGACTCGGAGTGTCCTACTCTCAGGGGCCTTGACCGTCTAACCCAGGCTGTAGTGATCCTGTCAAGAAGTCACACAACCCCTGATGGAATACCTGTAATGACAGGGAGCTCACCACCTTAGCTTAACTGTTTAGGGCCAAACTCAATAGGCCTCCAAATATCTAAGGACAGCAATTCTCTCCCCCAGGACAGGTACCCCGATTCCTGAGACTGTCACTCTCAGTGACCCTCCTGTCAAGAGCCTTAGCCCAGGTGCCAGATGGAACGTGGTACTCCCGTGCTAGGTCTGACCAGGTTGTCACCTCCCTTGTTTTAAGGCACAAGCCTCAATTGACACCTTTCTTTCATGATTCTTTCAGCTTGGGGTCAACCCAAGTACTTTTACCCAGGGCTGGCCCCCAATCCTGACTTGCTACCCCTTTCCCTGCAGATTTGTGATTAATCTGGGCCAGGGGTCAGAGAAGCTGAACCTGCATTTCAACCCACGCTTCCGTGATTCCGCCATCATCTGCAACACACGGGATGGCAACTGGGGGCAGGAGCAGCGGGAAGGTCACATGTGCTTCAGCCCAGGGTCAGAGGTCAAGGTGAGGTCAAAGGGGAAAGGCGCCTGAGGAGCATGTCCACGGGAGAGCCCCGAGGGTAGGGCCCCCTGGCCTAGACACGCGTTGGCACTGTTTGAGCCTCCGCGAGCTGCCCTGGCCCACTTCCGGGGCCTCCTGCCTCCCTGACACCTTCCCTCCCACCACAGATCACCGTGACCTTTGGGAATGACGGATTTGAAGTGAAGCTGCCAGATGGGCACCAGCTGACCTTTCCCAACAGGCTGGGCCACAGCCATCTGAGCTACCTGAGTGTGCAGGGCGGCTTGAATGTCTCCTCCTTCAAGATTGACTAAGTGGATAGCACCTCACCAGAGTGAAGACCCCGGGTACAGATGCCCTCTCCAGAGCCTCTCTACCCAGTCACACAGGACCAGCAGCCGCCCAGCAGTTCCTGCCCCTGGGACCCTACTCTCCTCCACTAAAGCGAAGAACAAACAAAAAGAACCCGCCTTTATCCAGTCTTTCTGTGGCCGGTGTTTTCCATACATTGTCATGCCCCCAGCATCCTCATGATACAGAGAAGGAAACTGAGGCACGAGATCACAGGGCTTCGAAGTGGGGGTTGGGATGTGCTCCCAAACACGTCCAAGCACCCGCGGCTGCCCTGTGGGACTGCGGGGCAGGCACTGGTTGCAGGCACCTGGGCCAGGGGCTGTTCCAGGAACTGTAGATAAGGCTCCCACCTGGGCCTCTTTATCGCTGGAACGTTCATTCCAGCCTGGTTACTCATTACCCCCTGCCTCGGCCCCTCCCCTCACTGGGGGCCCTGGGGGTGTGGGTTGGGGGGGGCACGATTCTTTGGTTTTCCGAACATGATGGGAGGCTGTTTAAGCAGGTGGAGTTGACCCTGTTCTCCCAGGTCCCCAAGCATCTTGCAGGACACCTTTTATCAAAAAGCCTTTTTTAATCAGGACCCAGAAGCAGGTCTGGGGTGCACAGGAAGGTGGGATTCCTCCCCTGTGAGGTCACACCTGACTTTTTTCTGAGACTTCTGGGATAAGTCAGGGGTTAGGGTTGGAACGTTGGGGAAGCAGCCTTAGCAAGGGCTGGGGCTCTCAGGGATGCAGCAGGGACCCTCCTGGGGGCAGCTCTAGGAGGGCTGGGGCAGGTGGTCCCTTTGGGAGAGGAAACAAAGGCTCTGTGTGGTATGCACCCCGCACCCCCACCCCCCAGCAAGGACAGTTTTTCCAGCACAAAAGCTGCACTGTGAGGCTGGGCCCTCCAACCAGTGGGGGTGGCACAGGGTTGGGGGTGGGCCTAAGGAATGGCCGTGGGTCCAGAGTGGCAGGGGGGCTGGGCAAGGCAGCCCAGCAGGACCAAGAACAAGGCTGGTCTCCTCTGGCCTCCCTCCCATGTCTGTCCTGCAGAGGTGTGGAGGGGCTGGGGGGCAACTGCGTTCTCCCATCGATCATGGGCAGGACTTAGTTATCAGGCGCTGGCTCTGTACCTGGGCTGTTCCTGGGTGGTGCCCTGAGCCCCGGCAGGGTCCTGAGCCCATGGCCGGCCACTCACACTTTGACTTCATCGTCCTCCTCAGCATCCGCAAACTCGAAGGTGTTTGCTTGCACTGTGCTGGGCACAGGGGCCCTGCTGCCTGCCTGGGGTGCACCCCACTCTTCATCTAGGCTCTCCCAAGAAGCCCGAGCCTGGGGCAGCACCCCCCCTAGCTCCTGGCTCCAGGCATCTATCCCAGTGTAGTGGCGGCTGCCCTGGTCGTCCCCCCAGCCTGCTCCCCGGTGCCTGCCAGGGGCCACGTCAGCAGGTGCACGGGGATACTCTTCCACTGGGCCGGCCCTCACCTCAGCCACTGGGCCCAACCCAGCGGTTACCCCATTGGGGCAGTATCCACGGGGTTGGGGGCTTGAGGCAGGGGCCGGGGGGCTTGCAGCAGGGGCCAGGGGGCTTGCAGCACGGGCTGGGGAGCTTGTGGCAAGGGCCGGGGGTCTTGAGGCAGGGGCTGGGGGGCTTGTGGCAGGGGCTGGGGTCTCAGCGGCAGAGGCTTCTGAAAGGCTCATGACCCCCAGCAGCTCACTGAGGAGCGATGGCCCAAGGTCGAGGTCCAGGCGGAAGGACAGAAGGGAGTCAGAGCGGCGAAGGCCGGACTCAGAGGGGAAGGTACTACCATGGTCTCGGTCACGAGGCTTTTCCTGGCGAGGCAGGCGGGAGATAGTGCAGAACCCAGAGTCCACGCCTGGAAGAAAAATGGGGAGCAGGGTCATAGCTGGGGTCCCTAACCAGGAATTGGGGAGAGGAAAGCCAGCTTGCTCTGTGACCTCTAGCACGTCACTCTCGCATCTGGCCTCAGTTTCTCCCCTCTTTCCAATATAGTGAACCCTGGAGTCTCTCACAGGATCTTCCTATCAAGCCTAGAAGTGGAAAATGGACACAGTCCTCATTCCCATTTTGCAGATGAAGAAAGTAAGACTCAATTTGGGACAAGGGGAAAGCCTTGCCCCGGGGTCACAGAGTCTGAAGGTGGAGCCAAGCCTGGAGCTCAAACCTCCTGACTCTCAGTCACAACTGATGGTCATGGTCGCTAGTCCCCTTCCATGACAGGGGCCAAGGGTTGCAGGCAAACCCACAGCGCGTGGGATGGAACCAGCAGCCAGGGTCTGACTGCACAGAAATCAGACTCAAAGGACAGGCAGATGCCCTGCAAAGGACCTCTTCCACCCTCTGGCTCCAGGACTGCCATGCCCGAGGCCAGGGTGTGCTTACTGTGGACCAGCCCCCAGGGGAGCTCTGAGCAGCCCTCCCAGAGCCGAGCACGGGAGGCGGCCCCCCGCAGCGAGGCAAAGCCACAGGGCAGGGAATGGCCACCAGGTGGCAGCAGGGGCCCGGGTTCCCAGGTGAGGGGCACAGCGGAACCACCGAGGCACCTGCCACTCCCCACCACAGCAGGAGGGACCTCTGGTTTCCGTCCCTGGGAGTGTTTTTTCCAAACTGGTCAAGTCACAGGAACTTCTGTTCAAATAACAACAACAGAGCAACAGCTCCTATGTCCCGAGCACCTACTATGTGTGACTCTGGGCCATGCCTGATACACGTATCACATCTCTGAGTCTCAGCAATGACCCTAATGTACCCATTATACAGGCTGGGACTTGACCTGACAGAGGGCAGTCGGCTTGCTGGAAATCAGGTAGAAGCAGGATTTTAATCCAGAGCCCAGACTCCCAGTCTCTCCACTCTGTCATTCTGCTGTCAAGGGGCTGCCTCGGTTGAAGGGGACGGGGATGGGGGTGGGGGGTGGGTGGGGTGGGAACGGGCTGGCTCAGCCAGGAGCCCAGACATGGGGAGGCAAGTTAGAGGCAAGTAGGACTCAAACCTCAGCTCCTCACCTCTCAACCTCAGCGTGTTTTGGGGAGTGAGCTGGTTTGTACCCCTTGACCCCCACCCCACCCACGGTCTGGAGTTTGGGCCTGACCTCCATGGGGAGACCAAACTAATGTGGGGAAAAGTGCTCACTTGGAGGCTAGGCTGACCCATCGAACCCTCTGGACCTCAGCACCTAAAAAATAAGCAGCGAGCCCAGGCCCTCACCGTAACTGGAGCGGCCGTCCGTGGAGTTGGCAGGGCTGCGGTCAAAGGTGAATTTGCCCACCACGAGGCTGTCGTAGGCAGCCTGGTTGAGCTGGGGCAGGGAGATGGCATTCTTGATGATCGGGGAGACCGCGGGCGGAGCAGGGGAGGGTGCGGGCGGGGAGGCCAGCCGCCGCGGCGGCGCCCCTACCCTCCGCACCTGCTGTAGCTTCTTAGCCAGGAAGCTTCGGGGTGAGCGGTGAGTGCTCCCAGAGCTGCCACCATGGTTGCTGAGGAAGGAGGTGTCGCCGAAGACATCCCCACCACGGCCCACGTGCATGGTGTGGCGGAAGTCCCCAAGCGGGGGGCTGATCATGTCTGCCGTCAGCCGCCTTTTGCTCTGCGAGCTGGACACCCAGCCCACGGGAGAGAGCTTGCCCAGGCTCATGGCAGGGGCTCCTCCAGCCCCCTGGGGGCCCGGCATCAGCTCTGGCTCTTCACAGCGGCTGGTGCATGCCCCCCCGGGGCCTGGGCGCAGGGTCCACTTCTCAGCTCCCTCCTTCCCCGTGAAAGGGGGTGGATGGAGGCTGCCCCCTCTGCGCTCCTAAGGTGTCGCCCCCAAATGCTGAGGCTGTGGAAGGCCCATGGCTGGTCTCTCCCTGGGGCCTGGCTCCCGGCCCCGTGGAAGCAGCTGTCGGTGTTCTGTCCAAGAACAGGGAAGGTATGAGTGGTGCCTCGAGTGTGGACAGCTCCTCTCTGCCCAGCGATAGAGACCTGAAAGAAAGAAAGAAAATGATGGTGGGCCCAGGGGATCCTGGGTCCGAATCACAGCTAGAGAGAACAGGTGACTACACCCACCGAAAGAGATGGGGGCCACCGACAAAATGCTGAGCAGGCGCACAAGGAGGACACGCTGTAGAATTCTGGGCACTCGACATTTAAGAGCAGGCAAAGGAAACAAGAGTGATAAAGTCGGAATCGTGGTTGCCTCTGAGCAGGGACTGCTGGGAGGGGCACAGAATAATCCATCCAGCTGTACGCTGGAGATGGGGGGCAGTGAGAAGCACGGATGGTCCTTATACCCAGACCGTCTGTGAAGCACCTACTAAGTGCCGATAAATTACCTCTGTCATTCATGTAACCCACATGACAGCCCTGAGGGAGGCACTATTTTAGAGAAGTTGAGGCACAAAGAAGTGAAGTGACTTGCTTGAGTCAAAATGGCGAGGAAGAGCGCCCCTCACCCCACCCTCCCCTGCAAACCCAGAGCCCTTGAGCCCCAAGCTACATTCTCCTCTGCTGCCAGGTTGAGCAAATCACCTCCCTTCTCTGTGGGTTCAACTGTCCTCCACTCAGAGAGGCCAGGAGGGAGGAGGTGCCCTGCCACAGGCTTTGGGAACTGCTGTGTAAACAGCCTGCACAGAGGTTCCTCAGAACCCTCCGCCTCAAGGTGCTTCCTGGAAAAAGGGTCCTGTGGTCAAAAGTGGCTTTTCCCAGCTGCCGACTACATGCCTGAGCAGATTCAAGGCTCTGAGAAGGCCCGCAGGAAAGAATTTTACTATAGTTTTTCAAATTGAGGTAGGTGCCTTGTCGTCAGAGAACAAATTTTGGAAAAAGCTCAGTTGGTGCCAAAAGCTATTCCTTGCCCACCTCCTCCTGATCTCCCTGCCTCCTCCCCCGCCCCATCCTTCTCTAAGCTTCTCTTGGTCTGACCCCATCCTTTCTATTATCATAGAAAGTGCAGTCTGGAGAATGCCTATGAGCCTATGGTCTGACCTCTGGTTCTCCTGTGGCCCAGAGAGGGTCCAAGTTTGCTCAAGGTCCCATCAAGAGAGCTAGTCGAGACTTGAACTCAGAGCCTCTGACTCACATAGCCTTTGACTGGCTCCTGGAGCCCAGTCTTGTTTCCCCAGATTGGCAACACACTGTGAAGGTGGGGCCGCTGTCTAGATGTTCCTGTCTTCCTCCCTCCTTCCACCCAGCTTGAACTCTGCACGTGGCAAGTGCCAAATCAACAGGGGTTCAATCGCAGGAGATCGCTACGATGACCTTCCTGCCGAAGGATCACCCCTTGCCACCTTCCAAGTGAGGGTAGGTAGGTGGGTGGGGAAAAGCTTCACTGTGTGACCTTGAGCAAGTCACCTATCTCCACGGGCCTGGGACCTCAGCTGATAAAAGTTGATAATAATCCTTAACAAGAACACCTAGATCTGTGCCTCAACCTTTTTTTTTTTTTTAATTTCGCTGCCACCTCCAAGCAGAAAAATCTCAATACTGCCCTTTGAATGTTATTTGAAATTCAAAATAGGTTAAATAACAAGATAAAAACAAAGCAAGCAATAAAACAAAGCTTGCTTTGTTCTCTGACTACATTCTCTTCCCTTCCCACCATCTGATCCTCCCCCAGTCCTAACTCCTCCCCCGGGGGGGGGCGGTGTCTGAATCATCCCTTTCCCTGGCACCCCCCGCACCAAGTCCTCGGCACCAAGTCCTCATGGAATGTTTGCTGAAGTTACGGAGCACTCTGCCGTTGGCCAACCAGTACATGACGTCTCCGGACTCCAACAGCCCTGCAAAGCTGAGGGGTTAGCCCATTTTTACAGGGAGAGCCAAGGTTCAGAGGGAAGGGACTTGGCCAAGGTCCTGGCAGGTACATGGCAGGTTTCCTAGCTCTGCAGAGATGAGGGATGACTCTGTGAGCGGGGGAAGGAACTGGGGAGGGGGGGTCACCCTGAGATGTCATGTGAGGGGTCCCTGTGTCTGCCTTGTGGCTACACCCACCTCTCTCCCAGCCCCCACCGCCAAGTATCCACTCTTCTCTCTGCAAAAGGGACTCTGGCCCCCACCGAATCCCCATGGCCATTTTGACTTGTGAGACCAGGTGCCTCTGGGCACCTCGGAAAGGTCTCTCCTTACCCCTCCACCGTGCCCACTGCAATAAAGAGACCCTGCCAATAGAGAGGTTGTGGGCCGAAGGGCAGGGCATTGCTACTGGGGACCTATTTTCCCACGTGGAAAACAAGAACAGCATCGAAAGCTGGTCCTTTCCCAGAGGAGTTATAAGAGTGGAAGGTGAGGTAATTAAAGCCGCAGGTCCTGGAGCAGGGCAGCCCCGGTTCAAATCCAACATGCTAACACTAACATCTCTCACTGGGGGCCCCCTTAATGGTAGCTATTTGGCCCCAGCTGTTGACTGCAGGGTATTATTGCTGGCGATCAGGTGTGCCCCACCTGGCCCTGGAGGAAGAGGGGCTCCAGGTGTCCTGGTGCAAGGCCCACCTCCCCTCACCAGCCCGGGATTACTACCTGTTAACGCTCACGACACCCATTTTACAGGTGAACAAAATGAGGCGCAGAAAGGGGATTGACTTGCCCCAAGTCACAGAGCAAAAAAAAACGTGGCGTGGCCGGAGCCTCCCTGGGATTCTGTCACCATCACAAGTAAATGTCAGGGGAGGGGTAGGACCCCAGGGGCCCAGGGAGAGTTGTTGGAGGAGGCAATGCCCAGCTGCTGAGCTCCGGAAGGGCAGGCTGGGAGGCCGGAGACTCTGTGTGGATTCAGTGCCCCTGAACTGGGCAGGAGTGGTCACCCAGCAGCCTCAGGTCCTAGCGGTCCTCGTATTTAGCCTACAGAGGATAGTGAGGCTGGGGCACTTGGGAAGAGGTTACTCAATGGTGGTAATGACCGTAAGGACAAGGCTTGAGGGGGCAGGCAGGGACCATGCTTTCCGAGTGGCCGACAGGGGCCGCTGTGGAGGCACCGCGGGGCGGTGGAGCCAGGGGGGGCTGTCCGACACTGGGGAGGCCGAGGCTGGGCTGCTGCACCCTGGCGCTCACCTGAGAGTCACCCGCGTGCCTGCCAGCGCACCACCTGTCACCCTGGAGGCCAGGCACATGCACACAGCCCCCTCCCCGCCGGTGTCCCGCTGGGTAACACCACCGGTATCTCTGGACAGCGCGGCCCTGCCTGGGTCAGGACAGTTCTGGCCCTAGAATGAAAGATTAACTCCCTGGGGCCCCTCGTATCCCTTGAAGCGCCCCCCCCCCCCCAGGTGGAGAGACGGGCAAACCGAGGCCAGAAAAGGCCAGAAGTTGTCTGCAGCCTCAGAGGGGGCCCTGTTGCTGGACTCTGAGGGCTTAGGAGGGAGCACCAGGGGCCATAGGGGAGTAAGAGGAAAGATGGGGAGAGACGGTTCTTGGTCCACCACTCCAAGTTAGGGCCGAAGCCCTCCATTCGAGGAGGGGGGTGGCCACGGACCAAGTGTCCCCACCCCAGTCCTGGGTTCCAGTCCCCACAACGCGTTTGGGGCGGCCTCGGACTGGTCCCTCCGCCTTTCTAAGCCTCAGTTTCCCGGTCTCAAAAATGGGCTTCAGGCTTCGCGGGTCTTGCCTGGTTGGGGCAAGGGCAGAACAATCTCGAGGCCAGTCGGCATTGGAAGTCGCGGAAGACTTGGGCCATAAAACATTCCCTCTGGGAGGCAGGGGGTTAGAATGGGGAGGGTCGCTCCGCGGGGGAAGGGGACAGCCGGCTGCCGTGGCCCGAGGGGAACCGGACGGGATGACCTCATCCGCCACTCGGCCTGGAATGCGGTGGTTGGGGAGGGGGCAGGGTGCCTGGTCCATCTCCCCAGCGGTCCCTCCCGCCCCCCACTTCCCGCTCTCCGCGCCGGCCTCGCCAAGGGGCCCGACATTCCGGCACATCGCCCCCTCCCCGTTCCTTCCCTTCCTTTCCCAGGGCAGGAAGGAGCGTAGACGGCCCTCTGCTCGCCCCCTCCTCCCGCAGCCCGCTTCACCGCTCACCCGCCCCAACTCTCTGCGCCCCTCGGCTCGCCGGGGACAGTACAAAACAACCCCCAAACTTGGAGGGACCCCCGCGCCGCTCCCGCGGCCGGCGGCCGGGCCTTCCTTGTTGGCACCGGGGGCGCCTTCGGCAGGCTGGCCTCCCCCGCCCCAGCCCCCGGGCGCCTAGGCGGGTGCCAGTCCCCCCCCGTCGGCGTCCACGCCCGCCCGGGTGGCGCTGTTACCTTCGCTCGGCGAGCCCCGGGGGGCCGGGGGCCGGGGGGCGGACGCGGCGGCAGGGACGGCGGCAGCGCGTCGCGGCGCGCAGCCGGGGCGAGTGGCTGGGCCGGTCTGCGCCGCCCTGGCCGCGGGCTCCGCGGGCTGGCTCCGGGGGCGGGGGCGGGGTGTGGGCGCGCTCCCTCCCCGCGCCTCGCTCCTCCCGCCCGCGGGCGGGGCCGGGCCCCCTCCGGGGCACCGGTCGGGCCGCCCCCAGGGGCGGCGAGAGCTGGAGGGGGGCGGCGAGGGTGCCGGGCCGGGGCCCTAACCCGCCGCCCCCGACTCCCGGCAGGGACGAGGGGACCCGGGGAACGTGCGGGTGCCCGGGCGGGGCGACGCGGGTCGGCGGCGGCCACCCCTCCCCCGGCGGCTCCCCGCGGGGCCTTGGGGCGCCCAGACCTGAGAACTCTGGCTCCTGGGCTCCCCAGGCGCTCCCTTCGGGTCTCCGGGGCCTTGAATGCCAGAAAGACCCGCAGAGACCCTGAGTTCTACAAGTTGGGATGCCCACTGCTTTTCTCCCAGTTCCCGATTCCTTTCAATCCAGCGCAGGCCTCAGCGGTGCTGGGACACAGACTTGATTGAGCCCAACTGGGGCGCAGACCACAGCAGGCAACTTGTAGAGTGGTGTGTGGTGTGGTGGGGGCCCTAGAACCCAGCTGCCTGGTTTCCTCTCCTGCCCTCGCCACTGCTTATCCTTTCTGGGGATCAGTTTCCCATCTGTAAAATAGGGTAATAGTAGGCATCGGATGTTAGGTTATTAGGTGTTCTCTGCTCTGTCAGCACCTAGGAGGCTTGCTGAACAGGTACACCAGACCACACCTCAGATGGATGGGTTTAGAAAGCTTTATTGAGCACCCCCCAATCCCACCCAGGAGGGGCAGGGAACCACCCTGCACCGGACCCTGTGTCATCCTCAGGGAGGGGAGCTAGAACTCGGATCCCTGCCTCATGTTTTTTTGCCCTCCTCTGATCCTGTGAGCTCCCTGGGGACAGGCAGGAAGTCCTGGGGGCTGTGGTAGCACAGAGAGACCCCTAACAGCCTCCAGGGGAGTGGAGGGGCCCAGCAAGTTTTCCCAGAGAAGGTGATACCGGACTTAAGTTGTAAAGGACACATAGACAGGGGTAACACCGTGGAAGTGCGCGCACACACGCACACACACACACCTGGCGGGAGACGGCACAAGCAAAGATCTGGAGCTGAGGATCTATGGGCCGAGGCAGGTGTGGCTGGAGGAGATCATCGGCCTGGGAGGAGGGCCATGTTTACAGCCCGGTGGAGGAGACAAGGCCTCTTGCATGGGTTCCCTGAATCCTCATGCTGGCCACCAAGGGAGGGCGTTTTTTCCCCAGCTGGACAGAGGGACAGATGGGGAAACTGAGGCACAAAGAATTCCGGCACCTGCTCAAGTGGCACAGCGGTAGGACTGAGACTCCCGTCGGTCAGAGCCCTTTCCTCGGGGTCGGGCTCGGAGGTGCTTTGTCCTGGGGGTGCTGGAGAGCAGGGGTGAGGAAGAAGGGAGACTGCCCCCCGAGAGGCAGGGATGGGGGCGGGGGCACAGTAAAGGGCTGGGAGAGGACTGGGCCAGGTTTTGGGGGCTTACCCTTGGGCGTCCAGCCTCCTCCGGGCAGGGATGGGGAGCCAGCAGGCAGTGTGAGTCAGATGTGTATTTGCAAGCTCTTTCTCTGAGCCAAGAATGGACTGGAAGGACAGTGAGGGAGGCAGGGACTAGTGGCTATTATCATTAATAGCAGTAGTGATAACCAGCGTTTATTGAGCACCCAATGCATGCCAGGCCCTACAGCCTTAGAGGCACTGCCACATTTAGTCCTCATGAGAGCCCCATAGGGACAGTACTGTCATCACGTCCATTTTGCAGAGACGTGCAGTGATTTGCCCAAAGCCTCCTGCTCCGGCAGGATGGCCAAACTTCCCTGTTTGCCCAGGATGGGCCCGGCATAATTATTTTATTTTATTTTTTTAAAGATTTTATTAAAAATTTTTAAAAAGATTTATTTATTTATTTGACAAAGAGAGAGTGGGGAGAGGGACAGAGGGAGAGAGAGCATCTCAAGCAGACTCCATGCCGAGCCCGGAGCCTGACACGGGGCACGATCCCATGACCCTGAGACCATGACCTGAGCCGAAATCAAGAGTTGGACACTTGACCAACTGAGCCACCCGGGCGCCCCTAAGATTTTATTTTTAAGCAATCTCTATACCTAACGTGGGGCTTGAACTTAGACTGCGACTTGAGTCTTGACTCTTGAGATCAAGAGTCGCAGGCCCCACCGACTGAGCCAGCCAGGTGCCCCTCAGCATAATTATTAATAGCACTTCCTTTTACTCTCAAAGGTGACCTAGTTAGACAATAAATTACTTGTCATTCTAGCCAGAGGATCACCAGAACAGCCGGCAAAGGAAGCAATTTAGTGCCGTGTCAAAGGCCTTGAACCCAAAACTTGGCCCATGGGCTTCCCAGGCATTGTGTGACTGGAGGCAAGGCACTTGGCCTCTCTGATCCTCAAGTTTCTTGTCTATAAAATGGGTACAATTCCAGGGCGGATATTTGCTACTTGCCAGCCCCAGAGATGGCCGGGAAAGCAGTCTTAGTGGGCATGGTTACGGACTGCCACACACTTGCCCCATGCTCTCCAGCTCTGCGCTGGGGGCAGAGAACCAGTGGCTGAGAACTTTCCTACTGTGTGCCAGGCACTTTGTGTCCACCAGCTCATGGCGAGGCAGTCTGTGAGTCAGGAATTCTCTGCCCCATTTTACAGATAGGTAAACTGAGGCTAAGAGCGGCCCTCTCCCTTCATTCAAAGCCTCTCTCCATGTAGGCTGTGTTCCTGTTCCTTGCTCCACTCCTGATTTAAGGATCCAACTCAGTTTTTCCCTCTGGAAAATGGGTGGAATGGAGGGGTCTTGGCACCCTTATGAAGGATGCAGGGATGGGCAGTCCCCATTTCCTGTGCTTTTTTCCTCCACCCATTTCTCGTGGTCCCTTTCCTTTCCCTGTGGAGGGGCTGTCTGCGTCCAGGAGTGCAGGGGTTAACCCTGGGAGCTGTAATCACCGTGTAGAATGCAGAACAAATGCTTCCCAGCCAGGGATTGGGAGCTGCTAGCCGGGACTGGCTGCCTAGAATTCAGGAGCCCCTAGTTCCTCCTCTGTCCTGGAGGAACAGGGGCCCTTGGGCCTAATCACAGAGCTCAGCTGCCCCCTCAACTTACCCCTGCAGACTGGGTGGGCTGAAGCTTAGGGCTTATGGGCAGGAGGCAGTTTCTGGGCAGGGAGTCCTCTGTGGAGCTAGAGCAGGGCGCAGCTAGAGAGGGGCACCTCCCCCTTGGGGACTCAAGAATGCCCGTGGCTGCCCACCTGGCTCCAGTGAGGTTTGGAGTGGGAGCCTTGAGCTGACTGAGCTGGCTTGGCCACATCTATCAGCCCTCATCCCAGGCTCACCCGAGGGAGCCCTGCATGTACCCTTTCCATCCCCAAAGTCTGGCTGGGCTTTTGGTCCATTGATTGGTCTTCCCAGTACTCTCTCTCCTGAGTGGCCACTGGTCCCTCCACCTATGGATGCAATTACCATTCTATCCTCCCACACACTACTCACATTCCTATCCATCTACCTCCCCCTCCACCCTCCCATTTATCTACCTGCTTATCTACTCCCCACACCCATCCAATCACCTAACCACTTACCGACTCCTCAGTTGACCCCCTGCCAACAACCCCTGTCCATTCATTCATCCATCCCTCTACCCATCTGTCCAACTACGCACCCATGCATCACCCCCATCCATTTATACACCTATATATCCTGCGCATGCAGCATCCCTTGGCCCACCGCCCCCACCCACACCCATCTGCCCACTCACCTGTCCTTCCATGCATTCACTCATTCTTTTTCCTGTCCATCCTGTGAAGCTCTTACCTTGACTCACACCTGGCCTCTGCTGACCAACAGAGACTTCTGGTCTTGTAGGGAAGACACAGGCCAAGATATTGGTGAGGATGAAGGGTCAAAACAGTGGTAGAGGAGGCCAGGGAGCCAGCCAGAGGACTGACTGAGGAGGTCCAGGGAGTCTTCCTGGAGGAGGTGGTATTTGAGCTTGGGCAATCATTGCCCACAGGTGAGCTGGGGACAGAACAGGGCTCAGGAGGGTAGAGGATGAGCTAGGAAGGGTCTACTGTGGAGGATGGGAGAGAGGCCTTGAACGCCAGGCCCTCTCTGGCCTGAGCTAGCCTGGGCCGCTGCTCTGCCCCCAGCACTGGCTGCCCTTGGGAGTGGGGTGCTTTGGGATCCTGGTTGGGGTTTCCTCATTAACAGACCAGACAGCAAGCTAGACAGTTAAGGCTCAGACAGAGCACAGACTTGGCAGGGCTCCCAGGAAGGCTTCTTGGAGGAGGTGGGATGGGGCTCTATACAGACGTGTGAAGCTGTGCAAAGCAGAAGGCATGTGAGCCAGGCTGAGTACAGTAAGTGTGTGTGTCTGGCACGAGTGTGTGCCCCCCGGGGAGTCGGCTGGAGTGACCACTGAGTGATGAGGGACATTGGGGCCCTGCCGGGGGCTGGCGGGTGGCCTGAGGGCCAGGTGATGGCAGATTAGTCCCTGGCTGTCCTGCCCAGCTGTTTCTGGGGGTGATGCCTGGGTGTGAGTGGGTTGTTCGGAGCCGTGGGGTCAGGATGGGAGTTAATCCCAAGGGTATTTGGGAGGGCGTGGCCTCGAGGCCCAGTGGGAGAGCATGGCTCCCTGACTGGAGGCAGGCAGCTGTCAGGGCCGGAAACGCCTTTGGAATTCCAGGCTCTGGGAAAAGGGCTGGCCATGTGGAAGAGTTTTCTCAGCTGGACCCTTCCAGGCCAACTCAGCTCTGGTTCCTTATTCACTGCTCTGCAGGGAAATGGGGGTGGGGAAGGGGGAGGCCCCCCTCCCCCCGCCTCCCTCCAGGCTCCCTTTCTCTTGGAGAACAGGACAAGAAGTTGGACGGGGGCTAGGAAGGATGTAGGGTCAGTTCCTCCAGCCCCACCCCTGACGAGGACAGTCAGATGGATGGATGGAGGCGGGAGTGGGGGTCTGAGGTGCACGTAGCTGCAGGAGGTGGGGAGGGACAGCTGAAGGGTCCGGGCCAGGTGACCCTGTTGTCCCAGGGGTGATGGAGCCAGGTTCTCCAGAGCTGGGCCAGGCGTCCAGGAGCTTGGATGGAAGGGCGGTGAGGAGGGGTCCTCCAGGAGATCTTTGTTCTCAACGTGGGGAGGGGGGGCGTTGTGGAGAGAGGCGGGGTAAGGGGGACAGGAAAAGTATTTGAGGCACAAAAACAATGGCCTATTCTCTGCCGTCCAGCCTGGCCTGAGAGATAGGCCCGTGGGCTGGAGGCCAGCGCTGCCTTGGCCTGACCATCTCCAGCATCACCTACCCCCCACCTTGCCCAGCCCCCAGCCCTTGGGGCTTCACGTGACCCCATCTAGATGGGGCTGGGGGCTCCTTTCTCACCCATTCCTGGATGCATGGGCCCATCTGTTTTCTTCTGACAAAAGCTGGCCCTCTTGGGTCGATGAAGGGCTTTCACCTACGTGGTCTCTTACAGAGGAGGGGAAGCAACTTCCCCCTGGCACCTACCTGTTTCTGGTGAAGCTGGGGCTCGAACCCGGCGCTCCTGGCTCCGAGGCTTGTGTTCACCTAATGATCCTTCTCCCCACCACTGCTTTTCAGCTCCTGGTTTCTTCCTCCCTCTCCTAGACTGATGGCAAGAGGAAGATTATCAGAAGCCAGGGGAGCATTAATGAAGCACCTCCTAAGTGTCAGGCTCGCGCTTGAGCTACTTGGGCTTGCTCGAATCCTCACACCACCATTATACAGACGAGGAAACTGAGGCCAAGGAGGTAAAGTTACTTCCTCCACCTCTCACAGCTTGGAAGTGGTCCCACGGGATTCACGCCCAGGCCTGTGGCATCCCCAGTGCCCTGCTGCCTTGGGGGCAAAGGCTCTGAGGCGGCCAGGGGACCCTGTTCTTTCAGTCTCAGTGTCTGGAAAGGAACCTCATGCGCTACACACACATCCTCTTGGGGCCGGACTTGCTCAGAAGCATCCCTGACTGCTGGGTGTTGCCTCTACCTTTTTGGTGACTGAGAGCTCACCCCACAAGGACAGCTCTGCCAGTCAAGGATTTCTCCCCGAAATGGAGCCGGAATCGACTCCCCATAACCCCTGCTCACTGTTCCTCCTTCCGCCTCCTGGTGTTGTGCACAGAGGCCCCCCAGGTGTTCCCCCTTTCCAAATGTCTGCCCAGGAGTCAGAAGATCTGGCTCCCATTAATCCCAGCCGTGGATCTTGGGCCAGTTCCTTTGCCTCCCGGTGCCTCAGTTTTCTCATCTGTAAAATGGGAATAATAATGCCGGCGATCGAGGAAGATGGCTGGGAAAGGAGCTTTGCCCACACAGGCTGGGGGTATGGGTCACGATGATTACAGATGTTCAGGCTTCTTGTACTTTTCTGCATTGTTCCATGGACTCAGTTGTCACACCTACATGGAATGGGCAACAGGGCGCAACTCTAGCCTTCAGACTCAGGAACGCCCCCTCCAGCTTGCAGAGGGGAGACACAATGACTTGCTGTTTTGGCTTGCAGTTTTTTTTTTTTTTTTTATGATTCAAAAAGCCAAAAGATGTTTACTCTCTGGATGTTTACAAAAACAGGTTGCCACCCCTGTTATAATTCAAGGAGAACTCTGAGCATAATGTTTGACATCAATGGGAAAAAGCAGTACATTTATTAGCTTGCAGTTTTATGTGCAGAATAACCTTTATTAATTCGCAAAGACTCCAACAACAGCCTCAAGGGTAAGTAGAGGGTCTCACGGGGGAGAAAACAGACCCAGGGAGGTGGAGCGACCTACCTGAAGTCTCCCAGCACCTCTCTGCAGGGGGATGGACCAACTGATTCTCACCAGGCCATCCCCCTGTCAGGGCTGCAGGGGTTAACTCCTCCAGCCCAGGAGGAGGGTGGGTGGCCCTGGAGAGTGAGGGGCGGGGTATGGGCAGCCCCCTCTAGGTCTCTGACTCCACCTCGGTGGGCAGCCTGAGCCCTTGCCAGTCTCTTGTTGACTCAGCCAGCATCTCTTCTGCCAAGGCCTGCTGGCCAGAGCTCCCACGGGGAGGGTCAGGCCACATTCTTCTCTGGCGAGAGCCTGCGGGAAGGCTGGTATCTCCTGGTGGAGTCTGTGTGCTGGTTTGTGGGTGCCAACACAGATGCTGGCCTAAGGTAGGGAAATGCTTTTGGGGGGTGGTCCCAAGGGACTACTGGGGGGTGAATGGGCTTGCCTGGGCACCAGGCCACTTGGGCACATGGCTCAGTGTTGTCCTTAATGACCTAGGTGATCTCAGCAAGCCACCGCCAGGATCTCGTGCCCACCCCTGGTCTCGGTTTCCCTGTCCATCAAATGGAGCCAGTGATAATAAGCCCTGCCTGCCCTACTTCATAGCTAATGGGAGGATCAAAGGAGAAAACGGGTTGGGCCAGAGTGCGCACCCTTTGTAGTCCAAGGGCCCACGCACATCGGCTGGCCAGCCAGCCTGGCATTCTCCAGGTGGAGTAAAGGAAGGGGAAGGGATGCAGGGACAGCCGTCAGCGGTGGCCTGAGTCTGCTGGACATTCCTGTCTCCTCCCCAGACTTGACATAATGACAATAACAAGGTTTGAAAGGCCAAGTGCACAGCGCCCCAGATTTTACAAATTCCTTCCCTACCCATTATCTGAGGCTCTCCCCTCCACCCCTGCCTCAGGGCCTTTGCACCACTTCTTCCCCTGCCTGGAACACTCTTCCCCAAGGTGAGTGAAAGGTAGTCTCCTTCTCAGCCCCAGTTCACCTCCTCTGAAGCCTGCTAACCACCCATTTAAATGAACTTCTGCCCCACCCCTGGCCTCACCGACACTCTCCCTCCTGTCTCTGCTCCACCTCTTAAGAGACTACCATGACCTTGCTCGTACAGGGGCCATCCCTCCCTCCCCCCGCCGCCCCCGCCCCAAGACATTAAGCTCCATGAGGGCAGGAACCACCACTGCCTTCTGTGGTAGCTCTCACTGTCCTGTCTTACTGGAGGAGCCTGAGTCTCGAGAGGCCAAATGACTTGCCCAAGGCCACACGGCCTGGGAGGAGCTAGGGGCCCTTTCCCGAATGGCTCCACAACCGTACCAGCTGCATCCTTGCCAGGCCCCACCCGCCACCCCCGCGGGGTTGAGCCTGTTGGTCGTTCCTTACACATAGTAGGTGCTGTGCACGTATCTGTTTGGTGCACTGTGGGGACACAAAGGTTTGCTGGACAGAAGAATGTGCCACTGGATTGAACATGCCCATCTGGTTGCTGCCCTAGGGGGCCTCTGGGCTAACACCTTGGGCCCCGCATGGGGGCATCCCAGGGGCCTCCTTACCCTGCCCAGCGGGCTGGCTGGCCTCACCGTCCTCCCGGAATTGTCCCGGCAGCTGCGGGGGGGCCGGATGCCCCACCCCCAGTGCCTCTGGGCCCTGAGCCCAGGCCGCAGGCGGATCTGTGGTTGGCACTGCTCCTTCGCTTTGGGGTGGGAACACCACAGGGATTTTAAAAATAAAGGGCCTTGAGACAGTGGCCTGGCCCAGCCAGCCGTGGGGTGGGGGCCAGACGGGACAATGGGATGCTGAGCCTTGGGGGCTGTCCACCCTGAGGGAGCAGCCAGGCCAGCGGAGCCCCTTTCTCCCAGCCCCCCAGGAGTGCTGCTCCCCCAAGAACACCCCCTCCTCGCCTGTCCTAAACATAGGTCTCTCACATGCTTACTGAGCACCTACTACGTGCTAGGCTTCAGTGAGAGTGGGGTGGGGAGGCCTGGCCTCTGTCTCCCCTAACTCTGCTGCTCTCCCCAGGGTGGCCCCTCTCCTCCCCCCCCCCAAGCTGCAGGCCACGTTATTTCTTGAGCACCTACTATGTGCCAGGCTCGTTCTGGCCTCTCCCCTCTCAGCCTCTGTGTTTGTCTCTGCTGCTGTCACTCCCTCAGGCCTCTCCCCATCTCAGGCCATTTCTGTCTCCCTCTCTCTCCTCTGGCCCAGCTAACAGGAAGCAGCCGGAGAGGTCAAGGGCCGCTGGGCCTCCAGAGCCCAGCGTCTACACACACAGGGGCCTGTCTGCAGCGGTGGGGGGGACTTCCTGTTTATGTGAATCACAAGGACCCCTGGGGCGGTGCCTTGGACAGGACTCCGGGGCAGCCCCTCTAGTCCAGACCTCAGTCCCTCCCCGAGAGGCCCCATGTGCTAGCTCAGACCCAGGCCGCTGCCCTTCCCCTGCACTGGGGAACGCGAGAAGGGAGGAGGAGTGAGGAGTCTTTGGAATGGCCAGGAATGTGGGAGTCGAATGTCCAGAATGTCCGCAGGAAGCATCCCTGGCTCCAGGGCCCAGCCCCCACCAGTCTGGGCGCCCCGCCCCATTCTCTCCCCCCCCACCACAGGGCCCTCCCTTGCTTGGATAGGGGAGGGCTGTGGGAGCCCGGAGGGAGGAGGCCAAACCCCATCCTGCCTCGCTGGGGCCACAAGACTTCAGCTCTGGCTTGACCGGGCTCTGGCAGCCACAGCCTCTCATCTGTGGGCAAGGGCCACGAGCCAGCAACTCCGTCAGCCTCGTTCCTGCGCCGTCTCTGGAGGATGGGGCAGGGGCTGCCTGGAGATTTGGGACCACCGGAGAGACCACGGACCAAGACGTCACACCTCAAGGAATCCCTCCGTGTTCTAAGCCCCAGGCCCTAGCACAGGTGTGGGGGGCGGGGCGTGCAGACGGAGGGGTGTGGTTGGCCAAAGTTGCCCCTCAGGAAGCAAACAACTCTGCCCTCCTCCCCCTCCAGGCAGTCCCTGCCAATCTGTCCTGTGGTTGCCCAACAGGTATTGACCAAGGGCCTGGGGGTCATGGCCATTGGAAGAGGCAGGGCAGGGAGACTGGCCCTGTCCCTCTTCCCCTACCTTGCCCAGAAGGAGGTGAGTGACACCTATCCTCTGTCTCTGCTTCTCCCCCCCCCCCCCCCCCCCCCCGCCCAGCTTAGAGTACTGGAGATAGATCCTTAGGTCACAGCATCATCAGGGTTTGAGGCAGTCATCCCCTAGAGGGCGGTGGGAACACCAAGGAGCCAGCTAACCCAGAGTAGCAGTGAGGGAGGACTTCCTGGAGGAGGCTGCCCTCTCAACATGGAGGCTTACAATCAAGAAAGGGTGGGCCTGGCCCGGGAAACAGCCTGGTCAAAGGCACTGCACTTCTAGAGAAAATGCTAGCGACGTGATAGGGCTGGAGAAAGGAGCAGGTGAGGGAGTGAGGAGAGGATGGGGTGGCGGAATGCCTCAGAGCCTGGACTTGCCTTGGCTCTGGAGCGCCCTCTTTTGCCCTGGGCCAGGACGAAGAGGGGAGTCCAGTAAAGGAGCCAGTGGGATTTGGTGTGGCTTCGTGGCCATGGTGAAGGGAAGGTCCTGGGGACTGGGACCAGGACCTTGGCCTCTAGCTCTGCGAAGCGGCCTGAGAGGCCTGCGGGCTCCTGAGAGACCTGCCCCAGAGCATCAGGGCATTTCCTGGAGGAGGTGGGGCTGCTGGCGCAGGCCATACTGGGATGGCGAATAGAGTCCTGGCTCTGCCAAGTTCCAGCGATGTGACTTTGGTCAAGTTACTAACTTCCCTGGCCTCAGTTTCTGCCTCTGTAAAATGGGGCTAAAGAGAGAACCTGCCTCAGAGGGCTGTTGATGGATGGAATGAATTTAACAAACACTGGTGCTGGTGAGTGTTTATACCAGTTTACAAGTAGTAGTGTTACTAATTGGGAAAAAGAGAAAGTTGGTTTTCCCCCAAGGACCTGTTGACAGGTGGGTGGAAGGTATGTTACCGGGAGAATCTTCAAAAGAAGACTTGAGTTTCCAAGTCTTTTGAGATCCCCAGACTTGCCTGATTCAAGGAAGCTTGGGGGCCCTTATTAAAAATATCAGCTTCCCACCCCCAGACTCTTAGCTGGCAGGTCTGGGGTGGGACAGGCCTCAGGATTTATAAGGAGGCCCCAGGCCTGAGCTTTCTACCAGACAGGTGTGGGGAACATTCCTCTCGATGACAAGGATTCACTCCAAATGCTTTGTCCTTGGGAAAAGATTCCTTCAAAATACCCTTTAAAAAACAGCCACTGTTTATAGAGTATGCGTTGCCTGTTCTAAGCCCTTTCTGTGTCAACTCATAGGATCCGTACAACAATCCTGTGACCTGTAGGTACTTAGAGTGGCTTCCCATTTTATTGACAGGGAGACTGAGTCCTGTAGAAGCTAAGAAACTTGTCCAAGGTTGCAAGAACGCTGTGACTTACCAGAGTTGACTTAGAATTTGAACCTGGACTTAGGCTCTTAACTATTGGGTTATAGTCCCCCACCTCGGCCTCCAGCCCCTGGAACACTTGATGATGGTTTTGGTAGTTTCTACTCCCTGAGCTGGTTTCCCTACTGCTAAAATGGGCGTCCTGCACCTGGGTGTCATCAATGAGTTGCCAGGCCAGGGACGAGAAGAGGGTTTGCAAGCTGTTCAGGCTGTGGGTTCTTTGGGAGCTGGGTGTGGCCGAGGGGGGGTGGGGAGTGGGGACAGTCTCGGAGCTGCTCAAAGTCACCGGCACCCAAGGCTAGGCCCTTTCCACCTCGTGTGGCCAAGACTACAGAGGTTTTTGGGGTTATATAGTGATGGCGGGGCTGGGGGTGGCAGGAGTAGGGGAGGCGGGTGGGGGAGCCTTGTTTCTCCCTTCCTGCCTGACACCCCAACAGGCCCTAGCTGGTGCTTGCTAGTGATTCACCAGGCTTTAAGCTCTAGTTTCGTCTGTAATCAGGAAACGGGCCACTAGAGAGCCTGGGGCATTTTCTGGAGTGCCCAGTGCCCTCCCAGAAACCTGGAGGGTGGCGGAGCGGGGGGGTTGGAGGAGGGAGGGAGAAGGCAAAAAGTCTGGCTCCGGAGATTTGCATAATTTATTCTTGTCTTTGAGTAGGGTGAGACATTCCCAGGGCCTGACATCCCTGGAAGCCATTGTGACTCGCTCATTCATTCTGGTTTATGGAACCCCTTCCACAGTGCCAGTTACCACGGACCGAGGGAAGTAAAGAGAAGCTTTTCAGGTGCTTCCTGGTGGGGAGACCACCGTGTGATTGGGTCATTCCTGCTCACTGGAGGGGTGTGTTGACAAAGTTCAGAATCCACAGAAGAGCCAGCAATGAATTTGGGGCTTGGGGCTGCGGTGCGGATAAGGGGAGACTTCAACAGTTTGTTCAACTGAGGCCCCCACAGGAGGAATGACAGTGCGGGCTGGGCTCAGATCCTTCTGCCACTTCTGAACGGTTCTTCTTCCATCTGGGCCTCAGTATGCCCACCTGGGACCCTGGGATCATGACCTGAGCCCGAGGCAGACACAACCAACTGAGCCACCCAGGCGCCCCACTCTCCTGGGGTTGTTATGAGAACTCACAGGGTAAATCACTTGGAGCTGTACCTGGTGTGTGGTCAGCCTGAAGATGGTTTAGCTGTTGTCACTGCAGAATGGTGGGTTCTGCAGGAGAAGCCACTTGAGACATGGGTTGGAGCATGCCTGGCATGGGAGGGGGCGTTCCAGGGGAAGGGCACTGCCTATGCCAAGGTCCAGGGGTATGCAGCACATGGGTACGTTAGACATTGCTGGGGTGCAGTGAGAGGTGGGAAGGGGCATTTGAAATACTTCATTCCTTTGGACATCATCCTTAGGGCAGCAGGGAGCTATGGAAGGCTTTTGAGCAGAGGAGTGACAAGTTAGATCTGAGCACCAAGAGTGTCCACAGATTGGAGGACCCACCTGGAGCAGGAAGACCAGTGAGGAGTGGCACAAGGGTCCTGGGAAGAGATGAAGAGGATGTTTAGGGAGGGCTTTGAAGGGTGTATAGGAGTTGTACAGGGGACCCAGAGGGAGGGGCACCCCAGACAGCGGGCCACTGAAAGCAAAAGCGTAGAGGTGTGAAAGAGCACACGTTTAGAAAGCAGTGGGTGTGGTGGAGTTTGGATTTGGGGAGCAAATAGTGGGGTCAGGAGCTGGGGGGCCTCGGTGCCATCCATAGGCTACTGGGGGTGGGAGTCAGTGGGCTGAGCAGTAGGAAGAGAATTTAAACATCTGTATTGGTTTCCTGGGGCTATTATAGCGAATGACCACAAACTAGGTGGCTTAGAACAGAAATTTATTTCCTCACGGTTCTGGAGGCCAGAAGCCTGAAATCAAGGTTGGCAGGCAGGGCTCCCCCGGAAGGCTCTAGGGGAGAGTCCCTTCTTTCTTCTTCCAGCTCTGGAGCTTCCTTGGCTTGTGGATGCCATCACTTCTATCTCTGCTGCTACCCCATGGCCTTCTCCAGGTCAGCATCCTCCCTCACAAGACGCCTGTCATTGGTTTAGGGTCCACCTGGATAATCCAAGATGATCGCATCTCTAGAGCCTCATCTTAATTACATCCGCAAGGACACTTTTTCTAAATAAGGTCATATTCACAGGTTCCAGGTGGACCTATCTTTTAGGGGGCCACCACTCACACACGACAAATGCCAGTGGAACCTGTTTCCCCTTTTCCCTCCTTCCTGGGCTGCCAGCCCCTTCAGTCCCGCCTCCTTTCACCCTTCCATCCCCAGGGCCCAGAGTGTGAGTTCGCGTTTGCCCAGGCAGCCTCCCCCCACGCGTCCCTCCCTCCAGGAGCCAACGCCCGCAGAGGCTGGGACCTCGCGGCATCCGCGGGGAGAGGGCGCCACCGTGTGTCCGTTTGGGAGCAGCGCGCGCGGAGGCTCCCGCCGGTCCCCTCCCTGCGCGCGGCGTGTGACGGCCACTTACAGAGCTCCCGCGGCCCGCCAGCCACTCCACCCACGTTCATCGGTTCTGCTCACATCAGAACGAAGTGGGGAGTATTGTCCCCGCTTTTCAGCCTAGCAGAGCCCGGCTCAGAGGTCACACAACCTTCCACCCCCATCTGACTCCAAAGCCCCGCCCCCTATCCACTAGCCAGAGTCGAACCTGGGGGCAGGAGGGCAGGCCACGCAGACTTGGGCCGCTGTCTTGCCCCCGGGTTTCCTCGTCTGTAAAGGGGAGGGGCTGCACGTGAGCCCCACCCCACCCCCACCCCAACCCCGTGGCCCCTTGCTCTGATCCCAACAGAAACCCAAATGAGGGGGCGCCTGGGTGGCTCAGTCTGTTAAGCGGTTAGGCGGCTACCTTGGGCTCAGGTCATGAGCTCAGGTCATGAGCTCAGGGTCTTGGGATCGAGCCCCGCATAGGGCTCCCTGCTCCGCGGGGGGCCTGCTTCTCTCTCTCCACTCATGCTCTCTCTCTCTCTCTCTCGGTCTCTCTCAAATAATAAATAAATAAAATCTTTTTTTTTTTTTTTTAAGATTTTTTATTTATTTGCGAGAGAGAGAATGAGAGACAGAGAGCATGAGAGGGAGGAGGGTCAGAGGGAGAAGCAGACTCCCTGCCGAGCAGGGAGCCCGATGCAGGACTCGATCCCGGGACTCCGGGATCATGACCTGAGCCAAAGGCAGTCGCTTAACCAACTGAGCCACCCAGGCGCCCCATAAATAAAATCTTAAAAAAAAAAAAAGAAACCCAAATGAGGTAGCTGTGGACCTTGCCGCTTCCCAGTACTTCCCAAATATTGGTCTTTTAGACATTTTTTTAGGTGTTTATTGTCTTTCTGTAAACCCTTTCATATGTGTGAACTATTTAATAGTTTTGAAAATATACTTACTGGATAAAACTTCATGCAGGCCTCCAGGTCCCCGTCTGAAAGACAGTAAGCTGATGGCAGCTTCTTCCAGCTTCTTCAAGGGATGATGTGTGCACGTATGTATATTCACACCCCCCCATTTTTTTAAACAAATGGTGGCATGCAATGTACATTCTGCGTTTACTTTTGTCACTTAATTACATTTTTGCATTTGACCCATACTACAATGTATAATTTGCTTTTGTGGGTACAATTTTCTATTGAAATATAACTCTACTTACATATATATATAAAGCTCGTAAGTGTATACAGACTGAACACGACATGTAGCCAGCACCCAGATGAAGACATGGCTCGTGCTCTCTCTCTAATAAATAAAACCTTTAAAAAATAATAAAAATAATAATTAGGGCCTCTGGGTGGCTCAGTTGTTTGAGCGACTGCCTTCAGCTCAGGTCATGATCCTGAAGTCCCAGGATCAAGTCCCGCATCGGGCTCCCTGCTCATCGGGGAGTCTGCTTCTCCCTCTGACTCTCCCCCCCTCTCATGCTCTCTCTCTATCATTATCTCAATAAATAAATTTAAAAAAATTAAAAAAAAGACATTGAACACCACCAGCCCCTCATGAACCCTTTTTGTGCCCCCTTCCAACTCCCCACAAAGGGAACCACCATCCTGACCTCTTAAATTTTGACCTATTTTTGTTCTCCGTGTAAATAGAATCATATCCTCTTTTGTCTGCAGCTTCTCTTGCTCAATATCATGTTTGTGGGACCCCTCCGTGTTGTGGCCTGTAGCTGTACATTATTTGCTCACATTGCTGTGTGGTCCACACTTTATTTTAGCTATTCTACTATTTTGTTCTCTCTCTCTCTCTCTTTCTCTCTCTCTTTTTAAGTAGGTTCCACGCCCAATGTGGAGCCCAACATGGGACTTGAGCTCACGACCCTGAGATCAAGACCTGAGCTGAGATCGAGAGTCGGAGGCTTAACCAACTGAGCCACCCAGGTGCCCCTATTTTATCTGTTCTACTATTGACGGACATTTGGAGAGTTTACAGGTTTTGCCTGTTACAAATAGTGTTGCTATTAATAGTCTAGTGTGATATGTGTCTGTTGGTGAGCATGTTGGGTGTATACCTATGGATAGATTTGCTGGGTCCAAGGTCTGCGGATGTTCTGTTTTAGCGGAAGGTGCCCTAAAGATTTCCGAGGTGATGGTAGCAAGCAATTTACATTCCCACCAGTTCTGATTACTCAACATCCTCCCTCACTTGCATTTTCAACCTTTTTCGTTGTGGCCATTCTGGTAGGTACAGTGCTACTACATTGTGGTTTCAGTTTGCATTTCCCTGATTACTAATGAGGTTGAGCCCCCTTTCATGCATTTACTGGCCATCTGGGTATGCTCTTTTATCTGTGTAAGTCTTTTGCCCATGTTTCTATTGGGGTGTCTGCCTTTCTCATATTGATTTGTAGGAGCTCTTTATATATATGTATATATGTAAAGTAGAAACTTTCTGTTGTATACGTGTATTGTAAATATCCTCTCCCATTTTGTGGGTTGTCTTTTAACTCTTCTAAAGTGTACTTTTTGTTGAACATATTTCTTTTTTTAATTTTTTTTATTTTTTTATTTATTTTTTTTCATATTTCTTTTTTTTAAAGATTGTATTTATTTATTTGAGAGAGAGAGAGAGAGAGCCACGAGGGGGGAGGGGCAGAGGCAGAGGGAGAAGCAGACTCCCTGCTGAGCAGGAACCTGACACGGGGCTCCATCCAGGACCCTGGGACCACGACCTGAGCCGAAGACGGACCCTTAACCGACTAAGCCACCCAGGCACCCCTGTTGAACATATTTCTTAATTTAATATTGGCCACTTACATACATAGGCTTTTTTTTTTTAAATGGTTAGTGCTTTTGTTTTTGGTTTAAGAAAACTGCCTGTTCCAAGGTCATGAAGATGTTCTCTTGTATTTTCTTCTAAGGCTTTATTGTTTTAATCTTCCACATTTAGGTATGGAATTTATTTCTGTTTATGGTGTGAGGTAGAGTTTGTGGTAGGCTGAAAAATGGGCTCCCAAAGATGTGCCCATCCCAACCCCTGCAGTGTGATTGCAGATGTGATTAAGTTAAGGATTTTGAGACAAGGAGATTATCCTGGATTATCTAGTTGGGTCCTAAATACAACCACATGTATCCTTTTTTTTTTTTTTTAAGTTTTATTTATTTATTTTTGCAAGAGAGAGAGAGCATGCAAGCTAGCACGAGTGGGGGGGAGGGGCAAAGGGAGAAGCAGAATCCCCCGCTAAGCAGGGAACCCAATGTGGGACTCAATCCCAGGACCCCAAAATATTGACCTGAGCCGAAGGCAGACGCTTAACCTACTGAGCTACTCAGGTGCCCCAACGACATGTATCCTTATAAGAGGAGAGCAGAGGGAGATTTCTCGCACACACACACACACACACACGTTTTCCCCAATTCTGCCCAGTTGACCCAGCACTATTTACTGAAAAGATCATCCTTCTGCACCACACTGCAGTGTCATTTTGTCATAGATCAGGTGTGTGTTGTTTTTGGACTCTATTCTGTACCATTAGTCTGTTTGTCTATTCTTGTATCAACACCACACTGTCTAAATTTTAATACTTAAAACAATAGTCCTTGATATCTGGTACAGTACGTTCTCTAGTTTTATTCTTTATTTTTGTATTTTATATAAATGGCTTTTTCTTTGCATCTCCATGTAAGTTTGAGAATCAGCTTGTTAATTTCAGGGGAAAACCTTCTGGATTTTGATTGAGATTCCACTGAATCTGTAATTGGAGAAGAACTGATATGTTTACAATATTGAGTCTTCTAGTCCATAAGCATGATACATCCCTCAATTTATTTAGGTCTTACTTAATTTCAGTTTGTTTAGATCTTATTGTAACTCGACACAAAAATGTTACTAAAAATTGGAAGTTGAGATATAATTCACATACCATGATATTTGCTAGTTTGAAGTGCACAATTTAGTGGCTTTTTAGTATATTTATAAAGTTGTAAAATCAGTACTGCTATCTAATTCCTGGTTATTATTATCACTCCCCAAAGAAACTCCATACCCGGCAGTAGTCATTCCTTATTGTCCCCACCCCCCCAGCATTGACAACCGCTAGTTACCTTCTGTCTCTATGGATTTGCCTCTGCTGGACATTTCATATAAATCAAACAGGGGTGTCTGGGTGGCACAGTCGGTTAAGCATCCAACTCTTGGTTTTAGCTCAGTTCATGATCTCAGGGGCACGAGATCGAGCCCTGTTTTGGACTCTGCAGTCAGCGCGGAGTCTTCTTCTTCTTTTTTTTTTTTTTTTAAAGATTTTATTTATTATTTGACAGAGAGAATGAGAGAGAGAGAGCACATGAGAGGGGGGAGGGTCAGAGGGAGAAGCAGACTCCCCGCCGAGCAGGGAGCCCGATGCGGGACTCGATCCCGGGACTCCGGGATCATGACCTGAGCCGAAGGCAGTCGCTCAACCGACTGAGCCACCCAGGCGCCCATCGCGGAGTCTTCTTAAGACTCTTTCTCTCTAGGGGCGCCTGGATGGCCCAGTCGTTAAGTGTCTGCCTTTGGCTCAGGTCATGGTCCCAGAGTCCTGGAATTGAGCCCCACATCGGGCTCCCTGCTCGGCGGGAAGCCTGCTTCTCCCTCTCCCCCTCCCCCTGCTTGTGTTCCCTCTCTCGCTGTGTCTCTCTGTCAAATAAATAAATAAAATCTTAAAAATAAAAAAGACTCTATCTCTCCCAAGGAGCGTCAGTTGATGGACATCTAGGTTGTTTCCACGTTTGGGCTATTCTGAATAATGCTGTGATGAACATCATGTGTAAGTCTTTGTGTGGACAGATATTTTCAATTCTCTTGGGTATTTCATACCTAGGGGTGAAAATTGCTGGGTCATCTGGGAACTCTATATTTAACTTTTTGAAAACCTGCTAAACTCTTTTCCAAAGTGGCTGCACCTTTTTCCCCCTGCATTCCTATCAGCAACGGGAGAGGGTTCTCATTTCTCCACATCCTGGCCAACACTTGTTACTGTTTGTCACTTTGATTAAGTTATCCTCATGGGTGTGAAATGGAATCTTAGTGTGGTTTCTATTTGTATTTCCCTGATGCTCAATCGTATTTTGTATTTTCAGTGTAGGGGTCTTGCACACCGTTTGATTTTCGGGTATCCCCGTTTTTCCAAAGTTCATGTCTCGCCGCTTCGTTTTTACAGAAGACTTCCATTAGCACCTGTTTTTATGAGCCAAAAGAAATCTGAAGATTTTCAGTTTTACCAAAAAAGGCCCGAAGCAAAAACACCATTCAGCATTGGTTTTGCAAGGAGCCATTAGGGAAGCAGTTCACCCCCCCCCCCCCCCCCCCCCCCCCCCCCCCCCCCGCCCAAGCGGCAAGAGTCGCTCCTCCAAGCTCCTTCCCTGGGGCTATGCTCAGTACCCAGCTGCTAGAGCTTGGAACTCTGCTCATCTGTGCTTTATCTAGACTTATTTCGTGCATCTGTAAGCAAGATGTGTCCTCAGGTATCAGAAAAGCCTAAGAGAAGTTATTTTTTGGGGGGTCTGGGAGCACTCAAACATGTTTCCATAGAAACGAATGGTATTTGTTCTTTACAGGATTTCAGCTTACAAAAGTTCTCATAGTAACACTCCACTTGTGCATAGTGGGGGAAACCTGTATTCCTAGGAAGTTGATGTTTTTGATGTTCCTATAGATGGAGCATAGATTTTATGTTTTAGGTTCACAGCAAAACTGAGTGGAAAGTTCAGAGGGTTTCCATATATCCCTTGCACACATAGCTCCCCCCACTATCAACAGCCTGTTTTATCAATCAATGAAACTACATTGACGTATTATTGCCCAAAGTCCATAGTTTACATTAGGTTCACTCTTGGTGTTGTACGTTTTATGGGCTTGGATGATTTGAAATGACATGTATCCTCCATTATAGTACCATACAGAATAGTCCCACTGTCCTAAAAATCCTCTGTGCTCCATCTATTCATCCCTCCCCTCCCACCCCTGGAAACCGCTGATCTTTTTGCCATCTCCATAGTTTTGCTTTTTTCCAGAATGTCACAGGGTTAGAATCATACTATATGTAGTCTTTCCATATTGGCTTCTCTCAGTAATATACATTCAAGGTTCTTCCATGTTTTTCATGGCTTGATAGCTCGTTTCTTTTTGGCTATGAAGAATAGTCCATTGCCTGGGTATGCCACAGTTTATTTATTCATTCACCTGATGGACATTTTGGTTGCTTCCGAGTTTTGGCAGTTGTGAATAAAGTTGCCACAAATATCCACGTGTAGGTTTTTGTGTGACCTTAAGCTTTCAGTTCCTCTGGGTAAAGACCAAGGAGTGTGATAGCTGGATCGTATAGTAAAAGGATGTTTAATTTTGTTAGAAATTGCCAAACTGTCTTCCCAAGCGGCTGTACCATCTTGCATTCCCACCAGCTGCGGATGAGCATTCCTGTTGTTCCACAGCCTCGTCAGCATTTGGTGTTGTCAGTATTTTGGATTTTGGCCATTCTAATTGGTGTGTAATCTCATGATTGTTTTAATGTACAATTCCCTAATGACATATGATGAGCATCTTTTTAAAAAAATAATTTTACTTCTTAAGTTTATTTATTTATTTTTTAGTAATCTCTACACCCAGTGTGGGGCTTGAACTCACAACCCCGAGATCAAGAGTCGCATGCTCCACCAACTGAGCCAGCCGGGCTCCCCAGTTCCATTAAGTTTTGCTTGTATTTTGAAGCTCTGCCATTCAGTGCATACACATTTGGGATGATTGATATCTTCCTGATTGAAATGTCCCTTTTATTTCCAGTAATGCTTCTTATCTTAAAGTCTACTCTGGGACAGCTGCAGCAGACTCGATTGGTTATCGTTTGTGTGGTATGTCTTTCTTTTTTAAAAAGATTTATTTATGAGATGGAGAGAGAGAGCATGAGCAGGGGGAAGGGCAGAGGGAGAGGGAGAGAGAGAAACTCAAGCAGACTCTGCTGAGCGTGGAGCCTGACGCGGGGCTCGATTTCATGACCCTGAAATCATGACCTGAGCCGAAACCAAGAGTCAGACGCTCAAACAACAGAGCCACCCAGGCGCCCTGTGTGGTATGTCTTTCTATCCTTTTCAACCTTTCTGTGTCCTTATATTTAAATCGTGTCTCTTGTAAGTAGCACATAGTTGGGTTGGTTATTTGTATCTAGTTTCACAACCTTATCTTTCACTTGGAGTAAAATAAAAAAAACCTGCATATTTCAATTTAATCGGAATGAATGGATTCTTTGAAGTTGAAGATGGATTCCCTCTCTGCTTTCTCCCACCTCCCCTTCTTCCCACTTCTCTGTTATTATTGCTTAGATTATTTTTGCTTTGTTGGAGTTTATAACATTTACATTTTGTGGGGTTTTTTTTTCCACCCTAACTTCTTCCCTTGTTTAGTTTTAATTCTACAGTGACGTGGATTTCGTGCTCGCCTCGGTCCCCACGGCTTCCCCATTTCTGAGATCATTGCTTTAGTTCTGTCTCCTAGGTGGCTGCTTGTCCTTACTGAGAACCGTTCTAGGAAGGGCTCAGACATGCCTTATGTTTATTATTTCTCATCTCACCATACAGAATCACCCCAATAAAGTTAGCAACACGTAACACAGAGCAAAGCCAAGTCCAGCAACGACACCATGTTCCATAGCGTTCACTTTCACTTCACATCGCCTTTCATTTGTCTTAGAAACGGTGGCCGGGAGGGAGACCTCACTCGAAAAAGTGGTTTCCACTTCACCTCCAAGAAGTTGGCTAAAATTAAACTTATCTCAGCATGGGCTGCTGAGGATGTGGAAGGCACCCAGCGCTGGCGGGAGGGTAAAATGGGGCTGGCATGGGCAAGGCTGATGGCCCGGCAGATCACCGAGGCCCAACACGGGTGACCTGTGACCGGGCCAGCCCACTCTTGAAGATGAATCCAACAGAAATGCCCGGATATGTTTATCAGAATGCTCCTGAATGTTCACAGCAGCGGTGAACCCCAACAGGAACTACCCAGATGCCCACCCCACAGTACCGTCACATAAGAGAGCACCACTCAGGACTGAGAACAGACAATCTACAAACACATGTACCCGGCATGAAAGAATCTCACTAACGCAGGGTGCATGAAAGACTCCAGAGACAAAAGAGCACGCGCTGTATGAGTCCCTTCATGTGAAGAACAAAATTGCTGAAACTCAGTCCATGGGGATCGAGGACAGAAGAGTAATTGCCTCTGGAGGGGGTCTTGACTTGGCATGGGGAACACTCAGTACCTTGATTGGGGGGGTGATCGTCCGGGTGTAGACATAAGTAGAAATTGACTGAGCTCACGCTTAAGATCTGTGCACCTTACTGTGTTTTATACCTGAGTAAAACTATTTGCCAAGCTTTAAATGAAGGCTTGAGGCAGAAGGTCACCTCCACCCAGGACACGGAGACTGAATCTATGGTACACGGGCTTCCTGGCTGACACCTCGATCCAGCCCCAGTCATCTGCAGTGATGGAATAAATTTCCCCCAAATGTCTAGCAGAACGCTGCCACTCCTCCATCTAGAGGGGCCATCTATGCCCTGTCCCCGCCCCCCTCTCCCAAAACCTGAGCAAGCTTACGACTGCTTTGACCAGTGGAGGGTGACAGAAGTGACCCTGGCTGACTTCCAGGACTAGGTCATAAAGTGGGATGGCTTCCCCTGACTCTCTTTCTGACGTGTGTCTTTGAAACTGCTGTGTAAGGAAGCTGGCTGTCCCAATGCCACCATGCCCTGGAGACAGACCATGCAGTGAGCCCGCAGAAAGAGAGAGGTGCCTGAGGAGCCCCGGCTGCCCAGCCTGCACTGCCCTTTCACGTGTCCCAACAGATGCCACGTGAACAGAGACCAGCTACCCCGCTGCAGAGTCACAAAGCCAAATAAACTGGTGGTTGTGTTTCATGTTGCTGTATTTGGGCTGGGTTGATATGCACCAATAGGCAACCAGAACACCTAGTGACTTCCTTCCCCAGGGCTTCCTATGGGCCCTCTCCACTCCACTCGCTCCAGCTGCACCCAGGTACACTCGGTTCCCTCCTGCAGGAGCAAGGGAATTCCCCGGTCTGCGTGCAGAAATCTCTTCCAATCTCCCAGGATCAGCTTCTGTCCTGCCTCCTCCAGGAAGCCTGCCTGTCTGCAGTTTTGGGCAGTGCTGACGAGCAAGCTGATGGTGATAATGGGGGAGGCAGGAGGTATATGGGAAATCTCTGTACCTTCCAGTCAGTTTTACTGTGAACCTGAAACTGCTCTAAAAAAAATAAAGCCTATTAAAAAAAAAAAAAAGAAAAAAAAGCAAGTTGACTCCAAAAGTAGATTGTGTCTGCATTAAATTCCCAGATCTCCCACTTCCCAGCTGGGTCCCCTTGGGCAAGTTACTTAGCTTGCAGCCTCAGTTTCCTCA